TATTTGACATAATAGATGCGTTAGAATTCTAATAAAACCTGGCAATTTGTTGATGTAGATAAAAGTAATAAATGAGCATGTTCGTCTCATAAAAGCCAAATTCCAACTGAACGCTTGATTACGTTATAGGGATTATAATTATTAACAAAAACAACCAAAAAAGAGGGTGAGTCAGACCTGCGCGATAAACATATTAAGTTAAGCGTGAAGAATTTCTTAATTATATATTTGTTATTTAGTATTTTATTAATAATCAAATTTTGAGTAATTAGGGTTTAAAAATTGAATTTAATTTGTGTTATTTTCTAAAGACGTTTTGAAAGTAAAAACTTAATATTTTTGTTGAAAATATTTAACACAAAAATTATAGATATATACAGTGTGACCCATTTGTTTGCGACTCAACCCTGTAAATATTTATTTATTGTGCGATTTTAACCGGATTTGTTTTAAAGTGTAGATCTTGATAAATTGTATTTTTGGAGCAAAAAACGCCATATTTGTACATAATACAAGGCCTACTATCAGTTTTTGAGAGTAAAGTTTTAAGAATTCATATGAGCGATTTTTTTAAACAAAATCTAAGCACGACACTGGATTCACCACCCCTCAAAACGACCCTAAATTAAATTTTATTGAAAAATTTTAAGTAGAAAAATGCACAATAATAACTACAAAATTTTATTCTGTTAAGTCATCCATTAAAAAACATTGAAATAAAATTAAACTAATAGTAACATGGTACTATTACTTGCTTAGATTTTGTTTAAAAAATCGCTAATATGCATTCTTAAAAGTTTACTCTAAAAAACTGACATAGTAGGCCTTGCATTTTGTACTAATATGGCGTCTTTTGCTCCAAAAATACAGTTTATCAAGATCTACACTTTAAGACAAATCAGGTTAAAATCGCACAATAAATAAGGATTTTACAGGGGTGAGTCGCAAATAAATGGGTCACTATATATACATTGATATACTGTATATACATTGATTTTAAACAACAAAAAACTATTTAATTTTTCTAAAGGTTAAAATCAAAGGCGATTTTATAAATAAAAGTAGACTAAGGAAGTTTGAAGAAATTTAGTTAAAAAAAACTTAAAAATTAGCGAATAAATAGGTAGGTACCTACTTTTATGTTAGTCAAAAAATTTAAAAATAATAAATGGGTAGGTACTTGCCAAATTTATTTGACGAGTTCTGGTTAAATCCCATTATCCTTATATATATGGTTGTCTTATTTCTTATATCCATTGGCTTAATAGCCCATGGCTTTAACATGTTGGTCCTAGAAAAAAAATATAATTAGACCATTTAAGGACTGCAACTTTTATGTTTTTTATTTTTTTTACTATTAAAAATATTTGTGTTATTATTTGACCTAATAGATGCGTTAGAAATCTAATAATACCTAGCAATTTGTTGATGTAGATAAGAGTAATAAATGAGCATCTTCGTCGCATAAAAGCCAAATTCCAACTGAACGTTAGATTACGTTGTAGGGATTATAATTATTAACAAAAACAACCAAAAAAGAGGGTGAGTCAGACCTGCGCGATAAACATATTACGTTAAGCGTGACGAGTTTCTTAATTATATATTTGTTATTTTTTATTGTATTAATAATCAAATAATGTAATTTCAATTATAGTTTCCAAATATTACGCACCATTTTGAGTAATTAGGGTTTAAAATTTTTGTTATTTTCTAAAGACGTTTTGAAAATAAAATCTTAAATAAGAAACTGTTTTATCCTTATTGGTTAATATTTTTGTTAAAAATATTTAAAACAAAAATTATAGATATTAAACTAAAAATTACAAAAATCTAAACAAAATTTTGACCTACGACCCCTTACAAAAGAGTTTCATCTCAATTTAAAATCAATGAACTATATATATTGATATTTTGATTTTAAACAACAAAAAACTATATAAATTTTCTAAAAGTTAAAATCAAAGGCGACTTTATAAATAAAAGTGGACTAAACAAGTTTGAAGAAATTTAGTTAAAAAAACTTAAAAATTAGCGAATATTTATTTTAAAAATCCCTATTTCGATGCCTTTATAAAGCTTGTGGGGAACAAACCCGACAGTTGGCAAGAGTGGTCCCCAAGAAACAAAAAGTTAGCAGCACTGGAGAGAAATGTCAATCATAGATAATAAATACGAGTTGGAGTAGCGAGCGGTACCCAATTTTTAGGAGTAGCACTAAAAACGATGCGTTTACAGCCTGATTTATAGATTGCCTTCCTTCCTTCCTCTTCTAAAAGATGAACAATACGATAACCGTAGTGCTGTTTATAGATTCCCGTAAGGAAATCTGTCGCCTTTTTTAAATGGAACCACTACGGACTTGGCTTTTCAATGTCGTCGTTTATAAAATATAGTGGTAGTTTATAACTTCCAGAATAACAATATAATGTTTAATTGGGCAGGTAAATTTATAAACCCTTTAAATTTTACTGTTGAACTTATAAATTTAGTTTTTGTAAAATAAATGCGCTTCATCAATATTTAAGTATAAACAAATTATTTATTTAATAATGTTTATAAATAAAAAAATCTTAATATTTATTATAAATTTTTTATTTAATTATTAGAACCGTCTATTACAAACAAAATTATTATTTATTAAAAAGTAAACAACCATTTACAAACAATTAAAATAATTTATTATTTACATTACCACGTGGTACTGTACAGTAAAAAATGGTGGATAAGAAGCATTTTCCTTTGAAGTAGTTTTCGCTACTTTAAAGTTTTTTCCACCTTAATTTACTTTACGGTAGTTTTGGTTAGTACCATAAACGTTCCAAATACTAAAATAATAACTTTCAAGTTATTAACTTTGTAGTTTTTAACTCATGTTCCAGTTTCGAGATTTACACCTGCAAAGGGACTACAAAGTAAAAATAATTATAATTTAATCTTCAGGTAGCAACCGAAAGTAACTGCTACAAATTAAATTTACCAGAAAGTTTTTTTTACTTATAACACCTTGTTTAAAGTTGCAAAGTCTTCTTGGGGGCAACCAAGTTTTACTTAAATGTTTATTACTTTATAGTTACCATTTAAGGATGAAGTTTCTGTGTGCGTTCACGGTTCAGTTAACCTTAGCTTATAACTAGTATAAATATGGTAGATTTAGCAGTTAGATTTAGTTACATTTCGCTTCTGAAGATGCCAACATCGTTGGCGAAAAGTACTTTGAGCACTTTTTGTTTTGTTTTGGGGAATACTTCTAATATTTGTTTAACATATCACCATTGACTAAGGAACATCTTACTCAATGATATCACCTAAAGCCTCATTCAGAACCTCGTAGTTAGTGAAAAAAATTAGTGGTTTCAATTATACTCAATTAACACAAAACGATCATTCACAATCCGCAAAATTAACATCTAAACTAAAATTAAGGGAATTGGCTAAAAGATTGTCCATTCTTCTTAATTTGACATAAACAATATTAATTATATTAAAATAATATTTTTTACAACCATTACAAATAATATTTACTTTCTCTTCGTCCGAGTCTCGGCGTCTCCCACTCTTAAAAATTATTCTCCCACTCTTAAAAACCAAATGAGGAAAAATTAAAATATGGTATATAACCTTACCTTCACTGGCAAATCTTCAAAATTTTTGCTTGGGACCTAAAATATCCGCGCACATGCGCAAACCGCTTTCCAATTATAAATAGTGGTAAAAGTTTGGAGTTTGCAAACTTTTTCCACTATTTGAAAAGTAGTACCACTAATTTTTTGATTGTGAACAACACTATGTATAGGTATTCATAAGACAAACTTTTACGTTAATTAAAACCGCTAATTTATTCCACTAATTACACTGTTCAAAATTTCATGACCATTTTAACACCAAATTAACACCATACATGGTCTATATCGATACAAACCAAAATGGTGTTAAATATGGTTCGTTGGTCCAGTGTAAATTCAAATACTAAAATGGTGTAAATTTAACTTTCACACAGTATTAAAATAAATTATACCTGGTGTAAATTGAACTCCTTTTCAGTGTTAAATATAATGGGTTTTTGGTCAAATTAAATCATACTACACAAAAAAAAGGAAAAAAAGGAAACAGGAAGTTCCTTGACGCATTACAAGTATATTACCAGTGGTATTATTCCAGAAAATTGAACCTTCAACTCGCTAGAGATAATGTTTTTAGTGCGTTCCACTAACTTAAAATACTTTAAATATTGACAGCTGTTTCCACATATTTAAGGTCTCTTTAGTATCGAACAACTTGTAGTGTCACACCACAGCAAAGGACTACCTGAGCTTATATACTCTTCATGTAAGTCAACAGAGGCGAGATTTAAGAACATCACGTGATCCACACCGCCTTTGCCGCGATCGGTACACACTATGCAACAAGGAATGCACGGCAAATTGTTTTAATCGTTTTAACAGAGTGCTTTAGGTTGAAGTAACTCTTATTTTACAATCAACATATTTAGTAAACTGAACCATACAGCGGGTTGGTTTCACTTAAGTTTTCTGGGTTAATTTAACCAATTTAAAAAAAATAAAATAACTATCTGGTTAAGTACCGTCAAACTAATCTTTGTTTATATTAACCTTCCAACAGTTGATTTAAATAAATACTTATGGGTCAACTAAATTAATATAGTTAAATGAACTATTCCTTTTTTTCTGTGACACAGTTGATTTAAATAAATACTTATGGGTCAACTAAATTAATATAGTTAAATGAACTATTCCTTTTTTTCTGTGTAGGTGCACTTCTCAAATATTTTTAGATAAACACCGTTTTGGTGTTTGCTATATAAAACATTTTCAACCATAATTTATAGTGTTATATTAACACCACTTGGTGTTGGATTTTGACACCATTTTAAGATTACTCTTCACACCACAGATATTTTAAACAGTGTACGAGGTTCTGAATGTGGCTTAAGTTGTCCTTTTTCAAGTACATAAAAACGTGCCAAAACCGTAATTTTTCAGTTATGGATCACAAGTACAAATCTTTGCTTCAAAACGTCGCGACCAGACACATCATCACACCCATCAAAGACAACATCCAAGAGCAGTTGCAAAGTCTTTACAAGTTGGACCTTGTCAACTACTTTATTCTGGGAAGCTTGGCGAATATCAGAAAAGTTCTGGATGGTGCCGATAACGCGCAGTTTTTCAACCGGAAATTCGCCTGGCACGTCATTACACAGGATAAAGGGGATGTTAAGTGTCAATGCAGAAATGCCACCATAATGTTTGCAAAGCCCGTTATAGACGCCAAATACCAAGATCGATTGGGGTCGATTAAAACTTCGTATCAATTGAACGCAGATCCGGAAATTGCGGCGGCTTTTTATTTTGATCTTGCTTTGCATTCTTTTCTAACGATCAAGTACTTAATGCTATTTTGTTGCACTTTAGTCGCCATTACTTGTTCTGCATTTTAGGGACATGATAGGTGAAGGGGCATGGAAGAGAAACAACGTGACAAACTACGTGACGTGTGATGAATATGATGGAAAAAACTCACCCAAAAGACGCGGACTTGACTTAAAAAAATACTTCAACAAAGTCTGATCAATGAACTAATTAATTGATGTATTTATTTTGCTGTGTTTTAGGAAAGCACTGAAACTCCGACATACGGCCCCATGTCGATCGTATCCAACGGGCAAAGTTTCATGGAATTTACCATGATATTGTCCGCGGTCGGCATCAGGGAAGGTGCGTCAGATAAATCGATTACTTTGGGAAGTTGGAAGGCTGGATATGACAGCAATTTGACCCTTCTAGACGAACAAGTCATGTCCAACTACACGGCAGATGTCGTTTACAGGATAGTTACTTTAGAAGTATGATAGTTATCGTACAGCTTGCCCAAGTAGCATTTTTGGTGGATAAAACGTATACTTGGAACTGTAAAGTGTATTACCAAAATCTCTGCCTCGTGATAAAAACAGTTCTATTACGTGGAAGTAATAAATATTAAAAATATTCCCCAAAACCAAAACAGAACACAAAATACAACCTAGAGTTGGGCACGCCCTGATAGCAAAATTTGATTCTAAGAATCTTCTAAGAAGATATGACCCGGAATAATGGAATATTCTTAGATCCTTCCCTTATTGCTAAGAATGTTCTTAGGGACTTTTAAAACATTCAATAGATACCCTTTTAATAATGCAATTAGATTCTTAAAAGCTTCTTAAAACCTTCCTAAAAAGCATCCTAAGAACATTTTAAGAATACATTTTTGGAATGTTCTTAGAAGGTTTCTTATGGAGCTTCTAGAAAGCTTTTGAGAATATTTCCAAATATGTCAGATACCCACGTTCTAATATGTTGGATTATACATTCGTAAAATTCTTCAGGAGGCGACAAATACTCCTCACTGTCATAATATGGCAGTGAAATGTATTTATCGTCCCCTTAAAAATTTTTGCGACATATTAATATATATTTATTTAAAAATATTAAATAAACAATTTGACCTTTAAACCATAAGTTGTATGACATTATTTCATAAAAAGTAAAGGATAATTTCGTGGGATAAGTCAGATTAGATTGAAGTTGAAGATAGTTAGGATTATTATACATAAAAATGTTAATTCAGAATGTTCCAGGAATATTCCTAAATGAACTTTCTATAGCAATTACTTTCTCAACATTCTAAGCATATGTTTAGAGTTGATTAATTTTTACCACTAAACTTTGCACCTTCTAAGAACCTGCCATAGGCCAGTGAGAATATTCTTAGGATTATGCTATATTTCTTTTAAGCATGTTCTTTAGAATAAATACAGCATGATCCTAAAAATATTCTCACTGGAAGGTTTAAAAAACATTCTTAGAACATGACTAGAAGAAAAGCATGATCCAAGAATATTCTCACTGGAAGGTTTAAAAAACATTCTTAGAATAAACTGTGCTATCAGAGTGGTTCTTATAGATGTATAAACTTTCATAACTATCTAGCAGACTTGGTTTCCAAACTTCCTTAATAAGTTTAAGGTTGTCAAATCCTATTCTATGACCATCACCAATAAGTATATGTATATGTTGGGCAACACTCGATTTCTCTGTCCTACCAAATCCAGCATGGACCGAGTGCTCTTTAAACCTTACTTGGATGGATCGTTTAGTTTGTCCAACATATTCCTTGTCACAATCTTGACAGATTATTTCGTAGATCCCCGACCTTTCAATTTTAGAAATCTTATCTTTTGAGTTGCCTAAAAGGGTCTGAATACTTCTCAAAAAAGAACTCTTGAGGAACCCTTTTCTTAGACTTCGCATTTAAGCATTTTAAAGAGTCCTACTGTATAAACATATGTTTATATATAAAAAGATTTCTTTAGAATTTCCCGTTTTGGATATACAGAAGTACCACTAGGGTACTGATGAAAAAAATACATACTGGATCGTTGCTTATTTTGACATGTCAAGTTTAATTACCATAGAACAAACGAATTTGTTAAATTGATTTTATTAAAATCATTTTAATAATTTGCTAGTATTCGCTTATTTTTGGAATTGCGATTACTTTGTCTCACTTTTGTTTTAAATCAAGCGTGATCTTCACCGGCACCGATAGACGGCCTGTTTCGCTGTTTTGGAGCTCATCATCGGGTAGCCGTTTACCTAGGTCTAAGACCGTTTGGTATGGAGCACGCTCTAAATTCTACTTCGCCGCTTCTTATATCAAACACAAGCAGTTACAGCGGTGAGAAGAAAGTAATCGCATTAAAATGTCATAAATGTGACGTCTCCATGTTGACGTCTTAAAGAGTTAATAATATGATTTCAGTAAGAAGTAATAACTGAAGTCTTATTTATGATACCCTTAGTAGCTTCCAATTTGGATTTCAATAAGAGGTCAGAAAAAAAGATACTTTAAGATGTTAAAAAATTGACTTCTCATTTATGAATTCATCAAGAACTCTTAATCTTGAGCTCCTAAAAATGATTTCTCTAAGGTGTCACATTGTGACCTAGGTAAAATGTTTTTCAAGAGACTTCGTACAGAAATCTTTCTGAATTAGATGCTGTCTGGGTGGGTTCAAAACCATTGTCTCTAGCAATATCTTTAATAAAACTGAGGTCTTTTTGTATATACTGTTACTAAGAAACTTAAAACTAGCCTGCTTATGTTGTGTGCAGTTGTTTGAGTCTGAAGTGATGTAACGTGCTTGTAGGTTTTCTGTAGGTATCGAACTCTAGAGTATTGTTAGATCTAATCACTAGGGCATATAAAAATGGTAGCTGGCCATCTTTTACCAATTCAAAGGTGAAGTTAATAAAGGAAATACAATTTTTCAATTTGGAAACAAAATCAAATGCCACTAATTTGAAGTTGGGATACAGTTTTTGTCACTATAATGCTACTTGGGTGGACTTAATTTAAACGTGAGATGTGGTCCCAAGTTTCGCTCTACCTATTTGAATAAAAGTTAACATAATGATTTCAGCAAGCTCCGTTTATAATTAAAGATGAAACCGCCAGAAAAGGCTACAAGGGTTACTGCATAGATCTGATAGATAAAATAGCGGAGAGCCTCAAGTTTGACTACGAGATTCAGGCCGTTTCCGACGGCAAATTCGGAAACATGGACGATCAGGGTAGATGGAACGGCGTGGTTAAAGAGTTGATCGAAAAACGCGCCGACATCGGGTTGGGTTCGATGTCCGTGATGGCGGAAAGGGAAAACGTCATCGATTTCACCGTCCCTTACTACGATTTAGTCGGGATAAGTATTCTGATGAAGTTGCCGACCACGGCTACATCCCTGTTCAAGTTCTTGACGGTTCTGGAACACGAGGTGTGGTTGTGTATTTTGGCCGCGTATTTCTTCACCAGTCTTTTGATGTGGGTTTTCGACCGCTGGAGCCCCTACAGCTACCAAAACAATCGCGAAAAGTACAAGGACGACGAGGAAAAGCGGGAATTCAACCTGAAAGAGTGCCTTTGGTTCTGCATGACGTCATTGACCCCGCAAGGCGGCGGGGAAGCCCCCAAGAATCTATCAGGTCGGCTGGTGGCCGCCACTTGGTGGTTGTTTGGCTTCATCATAATTGCTTCGTACACCGCCAATCTGGCGGCTTTTCTCACCGTTTCCAGACTGGATACCCCAATAGAATCACTGGACGATTTGTCGAAACAGTACAAAATTCAATACGCACCGTTGAACGGATCGGCTTCCATGACGTACTTCGAAAGAATGGCCAATATCGAGGCCAAGTTTTATGAGTAAGACTGTTTTACAATCCTCACGATCTTATAGAACTAATGGCACGGTGTCCCTGCATAACTTTTAATGGGGTAGTTAATTTTTTTCTGACCTATACTTTTTATGCTTTTATTCAAGGCGTTTTGTAATATTAAACATTTCTGTGAAATCAGAATTTCAATTAAGTTTACCGTTTTCGAGATATTTACAAAAAATATAAATTTTTATGACGTCACAAACCTCGCCATGTGACCAACATTCTAAGATTTCTATTGGTTGAAAATTACCCTGTTGTCAAGTTGTCTTGTTAATGATTTCATTCGGTTATGTCAGAAAATACCCGAAGAGGTTATGTACAAATACTGTCCAGAGATATATATATCTCTGATACTGTCACTGTCAGTTGAGTGAAAGATGGTCACCAAATTCATTAAGTACTTATCTTCCTTATTACGAGGTATCATATTACTGTTTGATATTTTAGAGTCTAAGATATATCTAAAAGAATATAAAGAACTAGGCATTATACTAATGAAATGCATTTACGACAAAATATGATTATAATTATAGCTACTTTATTTGTTTAAAAGCTCCAATGTTCAATGTAACCAACCATTCCACAAGATTCCTCTGCTTTGGAGTCCGTTATTAATAAATCACTTATCTAATATCAATTACAAATAACATAACAATAACATTGATTTTCAATAATCTAAATTTAAAAAAAACATAACCCGAAAAAAAGAAACGTCAAAAAATCAATTCTTCTTCTTCTTCTTCTCAACTAAAATTATAGATCAACTGGTTTTAAAACTAAAATATTATAAAGTGGCGCCATTTATCGTAAGAATCTTAAAGTAAACACACTGGCAACCATAGAAAAAGCTGGCAACGTTGTCAATAGCCTAGTGACGTAATAGACCTATCCCATAAAACAGACTTTTGGATAGCGCGTGCCTGAAGAAGAGTGGTATCTCTTTCTCTTTTATGTAATTAAAAAAAGACGACGTGCCTTTTCACGCACGCGCTATCCAAAAGTCCGTTTTATGGGATAGGTCTATTAGGAGATTTTTTTTTGTAAATATCTCGAAAACGGTAAACTTAATTAAAATTCCGATTTCACAGATATGTTTAAAATTACAAAACGCCTTGAATAAAACCATAAAAAGTATAGGTCAGAAAAAATTTAACTACCCCATTGAAAGGTTCAGACGTAGGTATCCGATTTTTTTTTATATTTTGATAAAAAATTACCTACAAGACAATTTTTTTTTCAGGATAAACTTAATTCGCTTGGCACTTTTTTAGAAAAATCAATTTTTATAAAAACAGTAATGATTTTTAATCAATTTTTTGAGATTTTTAATTAGTGAACTCCAAATAATGACTAACAGCTTTTAATGTATTTGTTACATAAAATGTGCAATTCATTAGACTAGTGAACTATTGCATATGTCACTTATCACATGTCACATGTCGAAATCGTGATTAAAAATACCGTTGCGTTATTTTACCGTTTTTTTTCAATTTTTCGCAGATTTATTAAGTAAAAATTAAAGTAGCTGTTTAGTATACTTAACTAATTTAAAGTTATCACCACTTTGGTAATGATTTTTGGAACCAAAAATGCTGCACGGTACAATACGGTTAATTTTCTAGGATTTGGAAAGACATGAGTTTGAATGATAGTTTATCTGACGTGGAAAGAGCAAAGTTGGCCGTTTGGGACTATCCAGTTAGCGATAAATACACAAAAATGTGGCAAGCCATGAAGGAAGCCGGACTTCCGAACACTTTAAAAGACGCAGTAGAGAGAGTTCGCGCATCAAGGTCTTCGAGTGAAGGTTTTGCATTTTTGGGGGATGCTACTGATATTAAATACTTGGAGCTCACTAGTTGCGACCTAACAGTCATTGGAGAAGAATTTTCGAGAAAACCTTATGCCATAGCGGTTCAACAAGGGTCCCCTTTAAAGGACCAATTTAATACAGCGTGAGTTGATAGAAAATACAACACAGCAAACGGAAAATTATAGAAGTGTATAGGATGACGCTACGTTTGAATATGGTTTTCTAAATCTCCCCACGGTATAGATTTGTATTCGTCAGTCGAGCGTTTCAATACTCTCCACAGTATAGAGGTCGTAATTTCACTTTTGAACTAGTATTAATATAAAAATTATTTTATGCTTAGAAAAAACTATATACGACATGATTGTGATTTTTTTCATTTAATTAATTAATTAAGCTGTGTTGAATATTTTTCCTAAAGGAATAATTGCCAATGGGCCATTAATTCATTTGTTCGTAGATGCTACAATAACCTGCACTGGTGTGTACTTTTTCATCAACCAGATTTAAATATTGCTGTGCTAACATATACCAGTGGAGATAGTGCAGGGTCTACCAACAGACCTCATTACTAAATTATTAAAGTTTAATAGCATATCGATCATTTTTTCAACATAACCTCTGAAATTTTTAATACAAATACTTATAGGTACTTTATATAAAACATAAATATACTTAAGTAACATCATATTCTCTGTGCTTTACATACCTGAGTTGTTACGGTAAATAAAAATCAGACAAAGGAACCAAAGAAAGGAACTATTTTCAACAAAATCATCAAACTCCTTGCATCCATCAAAAGATCAAAACTTCTTGCAATATTACACCCTCTTTTTATACTCTCAGAAATATTGACTAGAACAGTATTAGAGAGACTCCAGTTTCTATAACTTGGTAGAGTAAAGAGAAGTCGAAACCGTTGCGATATTGCATTGCGCTGTTTTTGTATAATTCTCGGGGACATTAATGAAAATCATTGCCAGTAAAATTCGAAAAGCTTGAGTTTCTATGTCTCTAAAGAGAATAGGAATCCGAAGTTGCTGCACCATTGGACTGAACCCTTTTTTAATAATTTCTAGAGACATAAATGACCACCATTCGACAGGGTCGAGTTTCTACCTCTGTTGAATATAGAAAATCTAATCGTATCTTGTAAGACACCATTAAGTTTGACTTTAAATATAGTCGTGCATAGGTATAGAGCCGAAAAATATAAAAACAAAGCACGATTCAATACAGTTCTGATAAAACTTTAAGATTTAATATTCAAACGTGGAGTCATCCTATACAGTTCTATATTTTTCCGTTTGCTGTGAAGAATACAGTCAGATTAGCTAATAAACTTGTTTTAGTATTTTGTCGTTGTTGAATAAAAGGGAGCTGGAAAGATTGAAGGAGAAATGGTGGAGTAACAATCCCGAAGCTAAGAAAGATTGTGAAAAGCAAGATGATCAATCCGATGGCATCAGTATTCAAAATATCGGTGGTGTCTTCATCGTTATTTTCGTTGGTATAGGTTTGGCTTGCATTACTTTGGCATTCGAATATTGGTGGTACAAATACCGCAAAGGTACTTTTTTTATATAATAATATAATGCACTGTACATTTATTTTTAGGAACTAATATTATTGATGTGCAGCAAGCTCAACCCAGTCAACAAAAACTCACCTTTCCGAAGGAATTTGGCAGGATGAAATCAAATTTTGCCATTCAGACCAAAAAATTGTATCCCAGATCAAGATTTTAGTAATTAAAATAAAACTAGTTTGATTGATGTTCATGCTACACTATAGAGTCTATTATTATTATGAGGCTTATTTTTCACAACTGTGCTGTCAAATCTGTGTATTAATAACACATTTTATCAGTAATAATAGTATTTATTTTCCGGCAAAAGTATTGGACAATTTTTTTAAAGATGTGCCTTTTTTGTCCCAAAAAAATTCCATTACCACGTCGATTTTGCTTTTTAATTTTGATTCGAATAGATTATAAAATTCTGAATTCATACATATGGGAAATTCTACAAAAGTTGGACAACTTGATGTCATCAGTCAATAGAGTAGGTATTTTAATATTTTTTATAAATATTTTAGTATATTACAAAAGAATTTTACTTGTTCACCCCATTTTAATGTATTTTTTCAAAAGCACGTTGGTAGAAAAACATAATAAATATTCAATACATCAGTACCTTGGCTTGTCACAACTCCTGATTCAAATATTTGAGTGATTTTATTTTAAAATATATTCAATTTATCTTAAATTTTTCAATTTCACTACAAACTATAAAACATTATATAATGTATTTTTGATATTTTATCATAGATTCGAATAATCGCAATTTTTAAAAAATTGATAATCTTTGTACTCACTTTTACCCGTCAGTTCTGTGTCCAATGTTAAAATTCAAAATTCCTGCGAAGTATTGAAGTTTAAACGTCAAGTCCTCGTTTTAACTCAAGTATTGGTAAAAAATTACCTACAGAGCCCGCCCTTTGCACGACTGTCATCTTGAAAACAATGCAAGCGGCGAAGTTGTGGTGAATGCACGTATAGTTCCAGTCAAAGTTTCAGTACTGTGGTGAGTAGTTATTTTATTACGTATGTATATTTCATTGTAATTTATATAAGGCTATATGTGATTTGTTGATAAGTAGCATCCACTAATAAAAAAATTTATTTGGCATAGTTATCTTTTTATATCAATATTATATAATAATTAACAAGTAAATTATCAATAATAAATATTACTGTCAATTTGACAGTGTCCAAGTATTTAATTAAGATCTTCAGCAGAAGTACCATTTTTAAATACTAATAATACTAAATCAAACTGGCATAAACTACCAACCTAGTAAAAAAACACGACTCCAAATAAAAAAAATGAACTGTTTACCAAGATTGCTTTGGTACTTACCTGTTTGTGGCACAATTTTTTCTCCTGCAAGTGGAGTGACAGAATATTATTACTTTTTTTTAACTAAAGTCTAATTATTTTTTTAAAAATGATTTAGGTCGACACTGTTTACAGGGTTATACGTAAATAAAATAAAAAGATGATAATATACATATTTAATAAAAAAAACTACGCTACAATGTAGCGACTACATGCTATAAAAATATTGGTAAATTATTATATACAGAGTAAAATGTTTAGGTTAAACTGGGCAAATACATATAAATGGTGCCATTGTAAAAATATTTACAAAAATGAGTAATAAATTATTGAGAATCACAATCATTCTTAAAATACATAAATTAAGGATAATGGTCCATATACCTCATTAAAAAAACCATTTAGGTAAAATTTAAAATAAATATTTTGTAGCAGTTGCTCTTGTATTAAGATAAGAGCCTTTAATTCAATTTTTATAAAAATAACACACTAATTATTTAAATAAGTGTACTTTGATTTTTTATGGTATTCCGCAAGGCTATGTTCTCATATACAGGATTATGCATGCAGAAAGGTTAGTTATTAATTAACAACTATTAACTATCATTTCTGCATGACCATAGTAATAGCAGTTAAAGCAATTCCTGACCACTTTTAACCCAAGTTGTAGACGCAAATCTACACGAGAAAAAATCAATCAAATTTCAACTTTAAATTCTATTTTCGATCATAATTCTATCGTTTGGCTAAGATCCATCGTTGACAGTTTTTTCTCCATTCCATTCTTATCCAAGTCTAATTCTATTGTAAGGTTTTCTAGTTCCTTTTCCAAAGCTCTGGTGCGTCTGTACATTTGTACATAGTTCATTTGTAGCTGACGCTGGTACCTAAAAGTAGAGAGAAATGTTTTCACCCAAGTCTCTTAATACTTTGTGGGTTGTCACCGACTATTGACTATTGTCTAAAATATCAAGAATTCGTCAGTATAGTTTAACTTCGTTTGAGATTTATGAAATTGTATTTAAATCATCTTAACTAAGTTAAGCAATAACTCTTTTACAAGAACTTTTACAGGAACCATTTATCATGTTTGGAACCGTCACCAATAAGTTGATACGAAAATGTTTTTCGCAAAAGTAAGAAAAAATGTAAAGTGTGACCATTTGTTTGCGACTCACCCCTGTAAAATCTTTATTTATTGTGCGATTTTAACCGGATTTGTTTAAAGTATAGATCTTGATAAACTGCATTTTTGGAGCAAATAACGCCATATTTTACAAAATTTAGTATAGGGTCGTTTTAGTGTTGAATCCAGTGCCTTGCTTATTTTTATTTAAAAAAATCGCTAATATGAATTCTTAAAAATTTACTCTTAAAAACTGACATAGTAGGCCTTGTATTTTGTAAAAATACGGCGTTTTTTGCTTCAATAATACAGTTTATCAAGATCTTCAAAGATTTTACAGGGGTGAGTCCCAAAAAAATGCGTCACACTGTAGAAGATAGTCCTAAATAATTTTTATGTTGAAAACTACATCCAAAAACAAAGAAAATTAAAAATTGATATTTGGTTCATTTGTGGACAAACAGGCTTTTAAAAACTTTGATATTTTCTGCAAATTCTCTTCAGTGGCGTTTTTTGGTTTTCTATTTTTTTTTATCAATTAATTAAAAATTTAACTTAGCTTATTACTCAAAATACCACTCTGGGGATATTTAAGGATGTGGAGACAACCTCAAAGTTTAAAAAAATATGGTTTTCGAAAAATATCAAAAAATTACTTAATTTTTTAGATGATTAGTGGCAATTGCCACTTTTAATTTTATTTTAATTTTTTTCAAACCTGTTTAAAAAAATAATATATAATATATAAAATTGACAGTGGTAATCATTAAATTTTTATTAATGTTTTTCGAAAAGTATGATAAAAAAATACTTAGAAGATAGTTCTAATTAATGGTTAAAAACCACATTTAAAAACAAAGAAAATGAAAAAATTGTTATTTGGTTCATTTTTGGGCAAACAACAGGCTTTTAAAACCATTGACATTTTCTGTAAATTCTCTGAAATTTTCAGTGGCGTTTTTATGTTTTCAGTTTTTTCCAATTGAATAAAAAATTAACTTATTTATCAAAATACCACTCTGGGGATTTCCAAAGAAGTAAAAACAAGCTCAAGGTTTGAAAAAAAATTAGTTTTCAAAAAATATATAAAAACAATTATTCAGAGGTTTCTTCTATTTTTTTTCTTAATTTTTCGAACATTGACATTTTTTAGATGATTACAAGTAATCAAAAAGGGGTAATTTTTACCGACTTTGAAGCGCTGTATCTTCGTTACTGTTCGTTTGATTTGTACAAAATTTTCAGGGTATACTAACAAAAATACGGTCTTTAACAGCATATTTTTATTTACTTAAAAAAAAATCCCTAAAAGTTATTTTTGAACGTTTTTTTATTATTAAATAAAAGGGCTTTAAAAATATTTTCTCGAAAAACCCTCGAATACGTAAACTGATATACAGTGTGTCCGTAAAGTCCCGGAACATGTGATTATTTTGAAAACGGTAATTTTTTTTTAAAAACGCTGAAACACGCCAACTTTGATATTTTTCTAGCAATATTTTAGCATATGTAGTTGTTCCAAATTCTGCCGCGTGGCGGCGCCACAATCAAAGTCAGTTTTTTTTAAATTGCAACCCTTTATTTTTGTTGCATTTTTGGATAGCTACCGTTGTCCTGATTACATTGATGTGCCACATCTGGGGGGTTACATAAGAAAATTTTTGAGAAAATCAGATTTTTGCTGCCGAATGAGATTTTGGTATTTTGTCAAACTTACACAATCTATGCGTTGCTTAATGTTTTTTGGAAAGCCAATCAGAGCAGTTGCTCAAAGTTTCCACCGTAAACTATTTGGAAATGGAACAGCCTGTCTACAAACGAGCGTTGTACGTTTGCCAGTACCGCTGGAGTGATCATCTGGATCTCGGCTTGAATGCGGTGTCTTAGGTCGTCCAAATTTTAAGGCCTGTTTACATAGACGCGGTTTTTACGAGGTCCCCATAAAAAGAAGTCTAAAGGGTTCAAATCGGGCGATCGCGCTGGCCACTCAATTTGACTCCTTTGACCTATCCAGCGATTGGGAAAGACCTGATTTAAATAATCCCTTACTAGCAATGCATAGTGCCCCGTAACAGCGAATAAGTTCGTCAAAACCAAAATCTTAATCAGCGGCAAAAACCTACTTTTCTCAAAAATTTTCTTATGTAACCCTCCACATGTAGCATATCAATGTACTCAGGACGACAGTAGCTATCCAAAAATGCAACAAAAATTAAGGGTTGTAATTTAAAAAAACCTTACTTCGATTGGGGCGCCGCTACGCGGCAGATTTTGGAACAACCACATATGCTAAAATATTGCTAGAAAAATACCAAAGTTGACGTGTTTTAGCGTTTTTTAAAAAAACATACCGTTTTCAAAATAATCACATGTTCCGGGACTTTACGGACACACTGTATAAGTTAAAGTATTTTTATTCAAAATTTCATTAAAGGCGTTTTAGAGTTGTTTTACTATTATGCGTTAATTTTGACGGGCAGTGTAGTTCTGAATAATTTTGTTGTTGAAAGCCACGTTTAAAACAAAGAAAATAAAAAAATTAGTTCATTTTAGGACTTTTTGTAATTTTCAGTGGCGTTTTTTCGTTTTCTATAATTCTAAAATTAACAGCTTACTTCTTAAAATACCATTCTGGGTATTTTTGAAGATGCAAAGTTAAAAAAAAATAGTTTTCAAAAAAATATTAGGTATTTAGGACTTTCTTCTATTTTTTTCTTACTTTTTCGAAAAACATTGAAATTTTTTAACATTTTTAATTTCATTTTTATTTTTTTTTCAAACTTTGAGGTTCTCTCTACGTCCTCAAAAATTCCCAGAGTGGTATTACGTGAAATAAGCTGAGTTTAAAAAAATTCTAATAAAAAAAAGACTACCTAATATAAAAAAAAAATTTCCGAAATTCTGAATAAATTTTTTCTAGGTATATTTCTGAAAAGTACATTTAAAAACAAAAATTTTAAAAATCGTCCCGAAAAGTTAATTTTTAAAAATTAAATTTTTCGGTTGGGTAAAATTTGAAAAATTCTAAAAAATGTTTTTTATGAGCTAGAAATAGATTAAAAAATGTTTTAGAATTTTGTTAAAAAAAAATTTGTTGTAGAAAACCACATTTAAAAACAAAGAAAATGAAAAAAATTGGTTCATTTTTGTATCTTTTGAAATTTTCAGTGGCGTTTTTTCGTTTTCTATAATTCTAAAATTAACAGCTTATTTCTCAAAATACCACTCTGGGTATTTTTGAATATGTAGAGACAACCTCAAAGTTTAAAAAAATTTTTTTTTTCAAAAAAATATAAAAAAAATATTTAGAACTTTCTTTTTCTTACTTTTTCGAAAAACATTGAATTTTTTGACCACTTTTCTTTTAATTTCATTTTTTATTTTTTTAACTTGGAGGTTCCCTCTACATCGTCAAAAATCCCCAGAGTGGTATAACGTGAAATAAGCTGAGTAAAAAAAAATCAAATGAAAAAAATGACAATTATAGAAAAAAAAAATTCCCGAAAATTCTGAATAAATTTTTTCTATAGGTATATTTCTGAAAAGTACATTTAAAAATAAAAATTTAAAAAAAATCGTCACGAACAGTCAAAATTTAATTTTTCGGTGGGGTATAAAAATTTGAAAATTTCTAAAAAATGTTTTTATGAGCTAGAAATAGATTAAAAAGTATCAGCCAAATCGAAAGGGTCGAATTATAAATGTTTTAGAATCCTACTTTTGTTATAAAGTCATGCCGGTTTAATTAAGTGCTCCCTAGGACATAAAATTACCTTAGAACTTTTTCCTTCTCCTGAGCCCACACCAAACGTTCCTTATCAAAGTATTTAGCTTTGATGCTGATTTCCTCCCGCAACTTATCCACTTCGGCGCAACACGAGCCATCGGAACAAGTACCGTTGAGTCGTTGGATCTCGATGTCCTCCAAACTGTCCGGGCACGAGCTCTGCGTCCTCCTGCCCGGCTCGATGTTGCCGTACTCGTTCAAGGACATGTCACTCAGCTCCTCCCTCAGCTCGCGTATCTCCGCCCGCAATCGTTCGTTCTCGCTTACGTCCTCGTAGTTCTTCGCGATCTCGAACTTTTGCTCGCTGTGCAACCGGTCCAGCTCGGCGTGCAGGCACTTGATCTCCTCCTCGCGTTCGAGCGCTGCTTTTTTTAAATTTTCGATCAGCTCGTCGCGCTGATCCAGTTGCTCTTTAGCTTCGCGATTCTCGTTGCGCAGCTGCAGGTTTTCCTGGCATTTCGTTGTTTGTTCGTTCTAAAAGAAATTTGAACTATGATCCCCAGTACATATAATTAACTCTACCTATAATTATTATAGCGGCGCGTGATGTCGTTATTTGGTTTTAAAGCTAAAATGCCTTTTAATTAATTCATCGGGACAAACTGCACTTAAGCAGCTGGCACCCCAAGTAGCAAAATAAGGTATACAAGGGCTCCATAAAACTACTCTTAAGGGTAATTTGCATTGCTTAGTCAAAACCTATTTGCTTTAACAGCAGCTATACAGCTTCAATAAAACTATCATAGGGCTAAAAAGGAGAATCCTATCGCTGTCCTTAGGAGCAATTTGTGTGTCAGCCACAAAGCAACTTTGCTTTATTGTATTACTCCTAAGGCACACCTTACAGCAGCCATAAAACCTACCTTACAGCTGTCATAAAACCTGCTAATAGGTTTTAAGGAGGTAGTATACTTTTGTCGTAAACACATTTTAGCTGACAATTGGTACTTATTGATGTACCTTTTTTCTTTATTGTTGTACTATTCCATATTGCTTTAATCAAATACTGTTTAATACAGTCTGTATTGTTACCTTATGGAACACTAAGCTGTTTCACAAGCATAGCCTATGCTGCATAGGCCATTATTGATTTTAAAAACTTAATAAGAAAATTATTATCTTTTGTCAACCAATAACTTTCGGATGCAAAAATCATAAACAAATACCACTTTACTGACAAAAGTTGATTGCCGAGGCACAAAACTGAAATGGGCTTAATTTAAACAATTTTAAAGGCTTTGGCTAAATTACTTACCCGATCTACATTCCGTTTTTAAGCGATCTCTTATCGAAAAAATATTCTCTAGCATTAACATGCTCGTAAAATTTTTTGAAATTTTATGAAAAATATTATCTATTTGTATTTTACATTGCAAACAAGTGCTAAAAAGTTTAATTGCTTTAAAAAGTGTTTACAACTATTTGTTAAAACTAATAAGCCCTATGACTGCATAAAACCAATTGGAATTTTGTGCGTGTATTTTAAAACAACTTGCAGTATTTTCATCAAAAGTATCGCCAACAATTAGGGCGACAAAATGAAGGTGTATTATTTACAGACCCCCAGGAATTCCAGAAAATTGTTTAAAAAATTCTTCCTTCATTATTTAAAAAGATACAGGGGAGTAATATTTTCTTTATATGGCAACATTGCCTCAAAAAAAGGGGATAGTTTAATTCTTAATCATCATGTTAACATTGTTGTTTGTTGCCACGATGATTAAAAATTAAACTATTACTTTGTTATGAGGCAATGTTGCCATACAAAGAAAACATGACTCCCCTGTATCTTTTTAAATAATGAAGGACAAATTTTTTAAACAATTTTCTGGAATTCCTGGGGGTCTGTAGATAATACACCTTCATTTTGTCGCACTAATTGTGGGACACCCTGTATATATATACAGGGTGTCCGGGAAAAGGAGGTCAATCCGTTAACCATATATTCCTTGAGTTAAAACAATAAGACTTTCATAATACCATTTTTCAATTTAGAGCTTCATGTTCAAAGTTTGAAATTTAAAACTGATTTTTTTAAATAATTCGAGTAATTGATAAGATATTAAGTTTAAATTCGGTACACTACTTCAACATAAATAGTTACATTTTTTGAGACCAACAAAACAAAAAACAATTCTTAAATAATCAAAATAGGGGGGTCCAGTACTCACTGACTCCCCCTATTTTTTAGTACGTGCGCCAATGACTTCCAAACGGTATTTTTTCAGGTAATCATTTATTGTTAAAAAAAATTTGTCTCTTATAAAATTTTGATAAAATGATTTGTTTTAGAGATAATTTGTAAAGTATGGGTCAGTCCATATCAAATCAACCAAAGGTTCTTCCCCCACCATCTCCGATTTTGATAATTTTTGGTAAATTTGTTTACCTCGCTAAAAAACTCAAAAATCCCATATATGATTTTTTTTCGATAGGTGGTTTTTGTTTTATTGATTTTTGAAAATCAAAAAATTCCGATAAATTTGGGTCTTGCAAGTACTTACAAAAATAGCGATATCTCTTAAACTATTAATAGTAGAAAGGTGAGTGATGGCTTATTTTAAAGGCCTATTAGAGACCTTTTTTATGATATATCACATGACCTAAATTTTTTCAAAAAAAAATTAAATTTCGGAAATTTGATATGGACTGACCCATACTTTACAAATTATCTCTAAAACAAATCATTTTATCAAAATTCTATAAGAGACAAAAAATTTTCAACAATAAATGATTACCTGAAAAAATACTGTTTGGAAGTCATTGGCGCACGTACTAAAAAATAGGGGGAGTCAGTGAGTACTGGACCCCCCTATTTTGATTATTTGACAATTGTTTTTTGTTTTGTTGGTCTCAAAAAATGTAACTATTTATGTTGAAGTAGTGTACCGAATTTAAACTTAATATCTTATCAATTACTCGAATTATTAAAAAAAAATCAGTTTTAAATTTCAAACTTTGTCGCCCGGTATATCGAACATGAAGCTCTAAATTGAAAAATGGTATTATGAAAGTCTTATTGTTTTAACTCAAGGAATATATGGTTAACGGATTGACCTCCTTTTCCCGGACACCCTGTATATATATATATGTATTTATATATATATATATATATTAATTGTATGCTACGACACCCACATAACCGATGTACAATCAAACACCCACACTTATATACGTATAAAATAGAAGGATCACATGTTGCTGTATTAGCACCCATGTAAATCTTGTCTATGAGGCACCAAAATGTATGAACTTGTGATATTGCGTGTCAAACTGACACCCTACAGCGTTGCCAAGATATTTCACTGTTTTATACGTATATAACAATATTGTCAAAATGGCACCCCCCTTAATATTGGTCCTAATGACACCAATATGTATGAACTTGTGATATAACAGGTCAAAGTGACACCTTACAGATATTCATAAACATAACATATTTTTGGAAAATAACGGTTTTATACATATGACACAAAATTGTCAAAATGGCACCCTCGTTAATCGTGGTCCGAATGAAACCAATATCTATGACAGGTCAAAGTTATTCTTACACGAAATATTCCTTTCTTTCTTTTTAAATCTGCAATTTAAGCCAAAAAAAACCTGAATGCACGTAGTACACGAACGCCCTTATTGTGGATATATGGGCAACTAAATAAAAATATGTTTTAAGTACTCCTAGTTTAATAACATAAACATATTAAAAAATAATACAAAAACACATACGTAATTAAAAAAGGTACATTAATAAAAAAGTACTAAATAATTACAAAAATTATGTAAATAATAATTAAAATAATACTTAAAATTACGGTAAATATTGTATTTTATTCCCAAATTTAACAAATGGGTCGGTAGTATTTTTTTATTTGCGTACATTAAAAACATATTTTTTTTAAACATTCAGATTCAACATCTAAAAATCTACGGGTCAATTTCAATTACTGTTACCTTTCATTGAACAATTTTAAATTGTTAAAACGGTTTAAACCCTTAAAGTCAAAAATACACCCCTGTTATTTAATTAGCGGATTACTAACATAACACATAATAATTTTAAATTGTTTGTTGCTGTTGCATGTAAACCAAATTAAAATTTTAAAAAATTAATAACACGCAAAAAAATAAAAATTAAAAAATTAAATTATAAAATCTAATTAAATTGTTTTGTTGCGATATTTTATTTATACCTACTTACCTGCTAATTCCCATGTAAAAAGTGTAAAGATTTGTCAAATTTAGATTATTTAAAAGAGCCCCACTCTTTTTGGCATTGCAAATTATAAAGTGATACGTTTTTACACTGCGCGTCAAAATTAACGCATAATAAGTAAAAAAAGTCTTAACTCTAAAACGCCTTTACTAATCTTTATGAAATTTTTTAAAAAATACTTCATCTTATACATGTTATAGGTATATGTTCGAGGGTTTTTCAAGAAAATATGTTTAAAGTCCTTTTATTTAATAATAAAAAAACGTTTGAAAAATAACTTTTAGGGATTTTTTTTAAGTAAATAAGAAATATGCTGTTAAAGACCGTATTTTTATTAGTATACCCTGAAAATTTTGTACAAATCAAACGAACATTAACGAAGATACAGTGCTTCAAAGTCGTTAAAAATGACCCCTTTTGATTATTTTGCTGAAAAGTGGTCATTTTTGATGACTTTATAGCGCTGTATTTTCGTTACTATTCGTTTGATTTGTACAACATTTTTAGGGTATACTTACAAAAATAAGGTATTTCACAGAATATTTTTTATTTACTTAAAATAATTCCCCATAAAAGTTTTTTTTTGAGCGTTTTTTATTATTAAATTAAAGGGCTTTAAGGATATTTTCTCAAAAAACCCTTGATAAACTGAGATATAAGTTAAAGTATTTTTATCCAAAATTTTATAAAGATTGGTGAAGGCGTTTTAGAGTTAGAATTTTTTTACTTATTATTATGCGCGCAGTGTATTTATCAAATACAGGGTGTTTCAAACTAAAGTTTCCACACCGGTTTTCACACGTCAATTTTTTATTTAGGGACAACAATTTATTTTAATTTTTAACCCTACAACCTTAACGTCTAAGCGGCAAAAAGACCTATCAACTATCATCCCCACCTAGGAATCCAGATTGAGGGGTTGTAAATATTTAAGAAATGGTCCCCTTGAATAAAAACGTTTGCGAACGTTTTTTGTATTTTTAACACCTTAGAAATAAATAAAAATTATTTTCTACATAATGGTTTAGAACATTAACTGACAATTACTCCATTAAAAAACAGGTGACCAGCGTTTGCAGACAACTTCAGATAATTAACCAATATCACGTGCAATGCCGAATCAAACACGAAATAAACCCAAACCGACCGACCGAAACTATTAGCGCGAAAGTTTTAAACTTTTAAATTTACAATAGTAGCTCAGCCCTTTTAAACATTTAACTATTAATAATAATAATAATATTAATAATAATAAACCGAT